GCTATAATCCTTCGGGCCATTCAAAGTTAAAACTTTTAACTTAATTATTTTTTTTCATAAAAGAACGAAAATCCAATTACCCTAAAACTTACAACACTCTAAGCGTCATCTTACAGCAATTTAACTACATCAAAGCTGCTTCTGATTCTTCAAATACAAGTTCTTTGAAAAGTACATTTATTTATTTATTTATTTATAATCCAACCAATTTTCAGACATTGAAGGGATGCAGGAGGGGGGGAGGGAATCTTTTCCTTTCCTATGCTATATATGTTACAGTCCGTGCAAACAAATGTGGTTGAGGCATGGTTAGGGGAAACCTAAAACACACAGCCTAGGCTCACGGTAAGTGGTCCATGACCTCAATTTATTTCGTTTTTCTTTTTGGTGACATTTATTTCGTTTTCGATTGATCAGAAGATTGGTTTGGTTACTCTATTGTTAAATCCACGTGGGATTGCTCACTGTCCTTTCAAGGTTTTGAACATTCAATCTTTTAAGAAAGGCCATTGGCAACTTGGATTTCAACTTCAACTTTGTTTTCAGTTTCCATTCTTTTCCCTCTGAAAGTCGATAGCAACAACGGGTTTTTCAAAATTATTCAAATCAATAATATATTTAAAATTCAAATTTTAACATATAAAATTTATTCTTTTTATTTTCATATCATAATTTTTTTTCAAAAAAATAAAATTGTGTAATTTGACAAAGTCGGATAAACAATAATAAAATATGGTGGCATACCCACCGACGATGTAGAACTACGTAACATGGAAGAAGAAAGAAAAGGAAAGGAACAATATAAGCATATGTTTAAAGCTATTAACGTCAATGTCTTTCTCTGAAAATTATATGTACTTGATGAGCACATAACCACACAATCAAGATGAAACAGAATAATCTCATCAGCAATTTGATGCCTTGGAAATTATCACCATTATTATGTTTATTTCCCATCTTTATAATTGTCATTCTCATTTCTTTTTCCTGGTTTTCAATTTTCAGCATAAAACATGGGCATGTCAAGATCATTCCCCTGGAGAATTGTTTTAGAGACACTTTCAGTCAATTATTATTATTATTATTTTTTTTGCTAAGCAAATAGATTTATTAATAGAGAAGATTGTTACAAAGACGGAAATCATCACCCAACAAGGAGGAACTTAAGATAAGAAGCGCAAAAACAAAATACAATCAGTGGTCGCATAAGCAATAAAAGAAATCAGCACCAAGGCTCAAAAAATGTTATTATTCACACCCAAGTTAGCCAGATGATCAGTAACACCATTCTCTTCTCTTGGGATCTTCTCAAAAGTAACATCCACAATAACAAGTAAAGACCAACAATATCATTAGAAAATTTCCTCAATCTCCATGGCCTGTCCAGCTTTTTGGTGATCCAATTAACATCAATACTAAATCTGGTTCCATTATAAGACCAACCTTGCTGAGCCACTCTGTTTTTATGAACACCTCCATGGCATGTTTGATAGCCACTAACTCAGCGTTATTAGAATCAAGCACTCCCAAGGGAGAAGAGAGCATAGCCAAGATAGTCTGACGAAACCCTTAGCACGCCACATCATCCTGTTGGATCAAGGTTACCTCTAGCACCCCTGTCGGCATTAAACTTTAAGGAACCAGCCAGGGCAGGTTTCCATCCAAATAATGTTCTCTGTCTCTTGCTAATGCAAAAATATAATGGAACATACAAGATAGCATTTTCCACCATGTAAAGCCATCAGGAATAGATTCCTTTTGAGTGGTATTGATCCAGTATGCAGACCTCAATTTGATCGCTTCTTACCTCCATTGTTTTACATAGCCATTAGAATCAAGCAGTTCATGTCAAATTATGAATACTTAAATCAATTCTTTTTCCATAAAGATGACAATTTTCACTCCCATCTATTGTTCAAAACTTGTTCTAATATCTTATTCATATCATGAGACTACAAGGAGGGGAAGAAACCTAGAACTTGTTTTCCCCAGATTTTTTTTTAAATACAGGAAGAGGACACTATGGCTTAAAATCTAAACTCAGATATCATGCTGATAAAGTTGAGCTAAGCAGCCTCATGATTTGCTAGACTTGTGGGATTTGGGTCGGTAAGAAGTGACTGCAGTAATTAATTTACTAATAGATGTTTTACAAGGTGAGGAAGAGCATCCCCAAACTAAAAACCAACACAAAAAATAAAAATAAAAAAAAGGAAAAAGTGTTAAATTAATAGACTACCTGAAAGGATGTCAAAATTGTCGACACATTATGAGAGGGCGACTGTGCATCCTGAGCCCTGAACAATATCCATAAACAGGAACCATCATTATAAACTGCATAAGCCATTTATAGACCAGGAGAACAAGCGATGAAACTGGAGAAATCATACAGTAAATGGTATTCAAAGTATGAGCACTAACGGTGAGAAAATTAGCAAAGAAGTCCAGAGTATGCTTCTAATCTCAAGGATGGAAAGTTACTTTAAAGTGTTCAGTATGGGAATAAGTAAACAACGTGGGCTAAGTCCTTAAAGTTCATTAAGTTTCTTAGTTCATGTCAATGAGTAAATTAGTGAGACACACCCTCTACTCTTCTTGGTAAAAATTGATTCTACAAAGTCTTCAGAGTCACGGAATTAAACCAAGAAGTACATCAAATCAGTTGTCAGTGAATATCATCTCTAATTTCCTGTTTTGTTCAATTTTTTAATCCTTCAGCTCAAAAAATCAAAATTTTCTGTTTGTATACTTGATAATAGTTGGCTCTTTCCCCCTTCTAAATATCAAAATATTCTTTTCATCTTTTAACTTGTTTCTCTCTTTATTGCATTCATGTATTAGGACATTATCTCTTGCCTTCTCTGTCACAAAGCCAAAATAGAGACAGCCATCAAATTAATGGAAATCTGTTCGTAGCACTGTTCCTTTTTTAATCTTTCCATAATATTCCATTTTATTTTTCATTTCCACCAAACATCCTCAATTCCACCTCTGCTTATCTCCTCTAAAATCAAATAAATATCGAAAGCAAAGATCTTTGATCAGAATTTCTTGAATTTTCTTACATAAGTAAAAGAAAAACCAGTATTCAAGCTTGATGAGATTAACAGAGAAAGCCAAAGAAAAAGTATTCTACATAAAGTTCAATCCTAATTGGCAAGCAAACCTCAAAAGATGCCACCGATTTAGCCACCTACTGATGATTGAGGTCAAACAGAATTAATTTAGTATCCGTGTTCCATAAGTTAACAATCAACTAGGATTACAAGGATTTGAAGGTTGATATACTTGGCATAAAGCAGCAAGAAACAGAAAGCAACGTTATCTTGAAGAACATAGACCATCATGTCAACTTGGTTTAATAGGAGAGACCATCCCTTTAAATATGTAGCAACAGATGAGATTCTTTCCTTTGCCTAAAGTACAGAGAAAGGAGAGAGCATTGTGCGATAGAAAAATGAACAATGAAAAAACAAAGTGAGGAGGCAAAAGTTGCTGAACCTTTAGACAGAAGGAAAACGATATTGTATCAAGGGGGGATACTGAACACCAATTTCCAAAGACTCCAAGAACTAAAGGTACGTTTGATGGTTATTTTGCAACTAGACCCTGGCCTTGAAGCCAAGACATTTGCTCTCACTCCCACTCATGCATGTCCAGACTCACAAAGTTCAGATGATGGCAGATATCCATGTTCAGAAATTAGCTTAAATGAATGAAATCTCTGCAGGATATAGCTACTCTATCTCCTCTGTATCCTTGACAATTGAATAATTGCAAAAATGTTTTGGAATTGAAATTATACATAAGAGTAATCTCAAGTTTAACGTATGCGGGTTCACTAACTCCCAAGCTTAACAATCATTGTACTCAATTATCAAATTTGAAAGAAATCCAAATGTTGCCATTTGATAATATGAATAGTAGAACTAATTTTGATAATTTCAACCATTACGACGGATTTCGCCATCATGTCAGCACCTTTCTTTTGAAGGTGATAAGATAAATTTTACTCTTTTTGTCTCGTAAAAAACTGTCATTCGTTTGCATATCATTAGTACGTACCAAATTTAAATGTCTAAAATTTGTTTTTAATTTAGTGATAGCATAAGAGCCTTATAACTAATTTCTATAGCAATTGCTTTCAGATTAAAATCAACATCATCATCCAAAAAAAAAAAAAAAGGTAAAAACTAACCATTATGATCAACTTTTCAGAAGTAAATCGAACACGTGGATGGCTTTCCGGAAATTATCACTAAATGTTAACCTCAAAACTGAACATGCCTCCTACATTTTTTTGAATTTCATCCAAATTTATTAAAAGCAGATAAAAAATTTAAAAATAAACTAAACTAAATTGAGATGAAATTACCTTCCCAGAGAGTCTATCGAGGCCAAAAATTTTGTGGCGCTCCAAAAGAAAAGGCATTCAACAGATAAAGGACTTGCACCATATCCCTGTAATTAAAATAAAGTAATCCGTGATTAGGAAGAGTTTAATAAGATGTAAATGTAATTGAGTTGAGATAATTAACCTCCGGTGGCTCGTTAATCATGTATTGGAGAGCGGACATGAGACGGAGCTGAGCTGTTGATGCCATTGATCAAAATCTCAGCCCTTCGGTTCAGATCTGAATCACATTGTAAAATTACACAATCAAAATGACTTTAAAATAAAAATAAAGAAGAGAGATCGTGAGGGGAATCCAAGAAACGGAGGAAGGAATCAAAACCGCCTTTATCTGCTGAACGTTGATCGTTGTTTCTCTTTTAACGTTTATTTTCAGGTTTTTGTCGCGGATTTTTTTTTAAAAAGCAATTTTATGATGTTTGGTAGATTAAGAATTTGAGCGGAGGCCCATAACCATTTGGTGCAAATAGTCAGTCCATTATCTTATGGGCTCCAATGGACCCAAACATGATCTATAGCCCTATGTATATTTATATATTAACATACCAAAGGGAAAAACAATATCTAAAAAAATTAACAAAAATTCCCTACGATCATTCATTCATGTGACCATAAAAGACCAAGAGAAGTGGAAAAAGATGATCAATCATAGAAAACAAATCATATCTAATTATGCAAAAGACATGAGCCCAGGCGCATTGCATGTGATTAAGCCATCATGATTGTCATTGAAGACAAAGAGATATCCGAGGAAGAAAATATCGTATTTAGATTATGCCCCTTCTCTTTTTTCTCAGTGAAACAAAAGAAAAAAAAAAAAGATATGGCGTGATGAGGTGGAATGGCTCAGAAACCAACCAAATCCCTCCAAAAAAGCAAAATCAATGGTAAAAATTTTAATATTAATATATCAAAAGGAAAGCGAAATTACCCAATTTCCTACAGTTGTTATTTCATGTCCGTTTGTGGGAACTCGGTGGCGTTTCTGGTGTTTCTTTGTTGTTAGGTTCTTTTAGTTTCTTCTTTTTTTGAATTCCCTTCTTTTCTATGAGGGTTCTGTCTTTACTGTCGTTGCCGCTATCTTCTGCCCTGCTTCTGTTTGCTTCTCCAAAATCGTCTGTGTTTGAAAAATCTTTGTTGGTATTGTAGCTTAACAGGTCGGAAAAGGCTCAAGAATCGAGGTTAATAAGGTTCTTCCCATTTCTGGGTTTTTTTTTTTTCCTTAGATTTCTGTATAACTTATTATTTGTCCTTCCACGTTCCATCATTTCAACAGAGAGCGAAATAACGCTTATATCATGCTGTCAATTCATTCACTGAAACCGCTCTCTTGTTCTGTTATATAAACTTATCGCTCTCTTTTTATCCCAAATTTGCCATTTTACCTTCCTAAATTCTCAGTGTCTTAATACTTGTTTGAAAAGCTTTATATTTATATAATTAAAGTCTCTGTCTTGGCTCATTTCTTCTTTTTCTCTATTGAGTTCTTCTTCTTCTTCTCCGTACCCTTTGCCTCTTTAGCTTCCTTCTATTGTTATCTTCTTCAAAATGGTTTGTAGTCACAGTTTCGTATTTTGCCAGAGACCCTGCTATTTTTCCCTTCTTTTTCTCTTGATTTTAAGCACAACCCAAGTGATCAGATACAAAGCTGAAGGTAATTATTCATCTTTTTCATAAAAACCGTTAAGTTTTGAAAAGTTTTTTGTGCTTGGTACAATTTGAAGTTAATTTTCTTGTTCCAACTTGCTTTTGCAGGTAGACCAAATCCCAAATCTGATAGCCTTTCCAAGGTGAGATTGCTGTCAAATATCTTTAATGAAAACAAAAACTATATTTCTTTCTCTTCTTATCATACAATGAATGCTGAGAATGTTTCTTTTGTCTTCTTACTTTGGATAGACAGTAAATGAAGAGAAGGCGACGTTGAGAGCTCAGATAGGTTCAAGGCCGCCAAGGTGTGAGAGAAGGTGCAGCTCATGCGAGCACTGTGAAGCCATTCAAGTGCCAACAAATCCCCAAGTCCGAAATGGGAACAGGAATTCTTCAACATTAATCTCTGATGTTGCCTATGCAAGAGGAGATTACAGCTCCAACTACAAGCCGATGAGTTGGAAATGCAAATGTGGGAACTTCATCTTCAACCCCTGATGAATATAGTTCGCCAGAACAGAATTTTATGTTCTTGAATACCCGTTTTTGAACCATTTAAATCAGTGTAAGACAAATGTTAGTAATTTTTTTTGGCTTTGTCTATTGTTCTCTTGCTTGTGAGAATCAGATATTCTTATTGTAATTTCATGATTATCAGAATCTTTAAAAGCAATTATATACGACTAGTATTATTCCATGATCATGTTGCATGCTCAGTTAGTCTTGTTCTTCTTCTCTCAGATTCTCCTTGGACCGTATGACTACTCGTATACGGTTTACACATACGTACAGAGATACGATTTCTTCGGCAAATCGTTATGACCTATGAGTACAATCATATATTTTGCGAAGTGAAAAAGTTTCCCAAAAGCAGCTACAGTGAAGGGAGGGGTTATCTAGAAATTAGGGAAAAACAGGGAGAAAAAGTTTTGCTCAAAAAGCAGACAATGATTTGGCTTTGCACAGTTTCACCACACGCCATCGACTCTCATCTCTTCGAGAAGTGTTGTTTTCCGAACCAAAAATTTAATTAGGAAATCAACAAATCGAACTGACCTCTCACTCTCTCAGCTAGGCGCTCTATATAAGCTCATGTCTCAACACAACTCTACGGCAGATTCCAGTTGTTTTTGGTCATCTTTCTATTATTTCTTGGCGTGTAAGAAAATCCATAATAGCAATCCTTTTCCTTCTCCACTTCTCCCTTCCCACTTTAACAGCTCGCCAGGAATCTCAAAAGTGATCTTATCAACATGCCAAAATAAGGGTCAAAAGCAAAAAGTTTTAGTGGGTTTCATTGAACATGTCAACCTTTTTAAGAACTTAATCTTGGTTTTAATCAATAATGAATTCTCAATGATAAGAATAATGCAGAATCCATGGCATGCCAAGTAATTATGAGCAAAAATCAGTGGCATGAGAAGCGAAAAAGGTATTCCACTTAAAGGAGTAAAACGTACTAGGAAGGGTAGCTGTTTTTACGTAAGAGGAAATGTAAAGATAGAAGAGAAAAAAAGAAAGAGAATCATGGTGATTCGGAAGAAGCTGACGATCAAATTTGATGGGATATTTCATTAGCATATTTCTATCTCTGCTCGATCTTTTTTTTGTTACTTGTTTGCTTTGTTACAAAATTCATGCATCTTTCATATAGACATGACTAAACAAGACCTTCCTTTACGTACGCAGGTACGAATTTTTGCCTCTTAAATCAATCCAATAAACAGTAGATAGCAAGTTCCTGAATGATAGCAGCTAAGAGATAAAGCAACAGCTGCTAGGAACCAAAAGCCATGGGGTCATAGCCACTTAGCGTTTGGGTAATGAGAATTCATAATTTTTTTAAAATTTTAAAGATGAATATTTGTTTCTCACGTTTATTTTAAAATAATTTAATTATAAAAAAAATCAAAATTTTAATAACATCCAAAGTTTTCAAATTAAAAATCTATATTTTTGTGATATTTTAAGATTTCAAGAAGAAAATTATTTTTATTTTTAAATTTGATTTCAATAAAAATAATAAAATAACTATTACCGTTTTTAAAAAATCTATGATTGAAACTCAATTGTAAATTTTTATATAAAAATATTTTTTATTACAATTGAGGCATTTGGTGTAAAAAATATCTTAAATAATTTTTTTTATTTTAAGATTTAAGATTAATATTTTTATAAAAAAATTACATAAGATATAAAAAATATCTTAAATAATTCATTTATTAATCATAAATAAAATTATTATTTAAAGCATTTTCTATACAAAAATGCCTTAAATAATTTTTTTATAAATTAAAAAATAATTATTGAATGATCCATAATATAAAAAAATAAAATGATTATTTAAGGTATATATGTACAAAAAACACCTTAAATAAAATAAAATAATTATTTAAGCCGTTTTCGAAACACTTTAAGTAATTCTTTTATAAATAAATTAAAGAAAATTTTTTAATTTTTTTCATGATATAAAAAAGTGACAAACACATTAACTGATTTTTTTTAACAATTTTTTCTATCAATTTATGTTACACAAAAAAGTGCCAAATACCTCAATTGATAATATTTTATAAATAAAAATAGAAATTAAGTAAAATATGTGTTTTTTTTTTTGTTAAATGCATCATTTATCATTTGTGTATTTATTATTAATAAAATAAAATAAAAAATTACCATCATATATGGTAAAAAAATTATGATAATTATACAATAATTAATATATGCGGATATTCCTCAACTAAATGAGCAAATTTGAATACGGGATGACTTAAAAATTCAAAAAAATTTTAGGTATCACACTTTTTTTATAATCATACTTTTTTTTGAAATTTAAGATTCTATGAACTAAATGTTCCATGAGAGGTTTTTACAATCGAGAGTGGTTTTATCTACTTTGAAATTTTATTTTATAGAGATTTTCATTATGTAAATATTGTTTTTTTTTTATTTGGAATATATGATTATATGCCTTGTTTAAACGTTCTAACTAATAGTTCTATTTTATTAACCTGAAACTTAGTATAAAAAAATCCTATTTTATTATTAGAGAGAGGATATATGTATAAATTATTGAGTTACACAATTTGGTATCAAATCCATAGGTTAATTAATTACCCATGGAGAATAAGTTAGGTTGTCCATATAAATTTGAGTTTAAGTATCAAGTTATAATTTTTTATGTGAGTGGTTTAAATTTATTATATATTAATCTTTTAATTATATATTTTTATCATTTTATTTTTTATTTTGAAACAAATTTATTATTGTATTTTTAATTTTAAAACAATTTTGATCATGATGTAACGGTGAGAAATATTATATAAAATATTTTGTTAAAAATAATTTTATAATTAAAAAATAAATTAAAAATAATATGACAGTGAAAAAGATAAGATCAACGGAAAAAATTATGATGTGATACTGTATTTAATAAAATATACCATGATGAAAGAAAAAAATAAAATAAAATTAATTAAGAAACTAAATAAAATAAAATAAAATTTTAATTCATGATTGTTTTTCCCAATCATATCATTTTTTAAATTATGTTTTGAACTGTAGAATAACTTCTAACATAATTTTCTATTCAATATTTTTCTTAAGTTGAAAAATTAAAGATAAACTTGGACTGCTCCTGTGAGTAGATTGATAAATTTACACCTTCTTTCTATAAAATTTATATGTTCTCCTGCGCCCTGGGTGGTTGTGGGCAATGAGGGCATTCACTGCTGCAGTCCTTGGTGCCTTTGCCTATGTTTCAGTTTCGGGCTTTGAACTATACAAAATGGAAAATTTTTCCCTTTTTGGTATTAACAGGATTTAAGACCCAAAGTAATAAACAGAAACTGATATAGCAAAACTACAGCAGCACATCTCTGCATCAAGCAGCTGAGCCTAGATATGCTTGTCAACCATGGTTTCTAAACTGCCAAAGCTAATCATTCTTTCAATTTTGTTTACTAAACATTGATGATACCTGACTGGACAATGACTCTCTCGGGTAAAAAAAAACTGAACAATTCTGTATCAAACAAGTTTTGAATTTGAATCGAAATAAGTTTTCCCATTTTATATTGAACTGAAGAGGGGCAAATAACAAGTTCCATCAAGAAAACAACATAGAAAAATACAGTGGGGTTTTCGTCAGAAACTGCACATGCAAATTCCAAATGCAACCCTTCATCAATTATCATCTGTTTCAGTCCTGGGTTATCCATAAAGCTCCGCAATGTTTATCTGTTGGGAAAGAATATGAAGGTACATTTTTTTGCAACAGTCACGTGGGGACATGGGGCAGCACCTCCTTCCATGTCCTTAGAAAATAAAAAAGTCCAAAGCTTAAAGAGAATGTTTGGGGCGAAGGTCGAGACAGACAACTGAGAAAAAAAAAGCAAAAGGCTGAGGCCCACAAAAGCAAAATGGATTCTGATTCCCAAAGCCTGTCTCTTTCCTGCCAAGTGCTTGGATGCCAACAGTCATTGAAATTTCTTTTCCCCTCGACTCATGGACAAAATTAATGCATTGTACAGAAACAGTAGCAGGGCCAGGAGTCACCGTTACGATTCCCAGATGACGTGGAAAGGCACCAGTAATCAGAATGGATGGTACAGCATTCTCTGCTAAGACATTTTCCAGGGGCCATTTTGAAATTGGATTTTTTTTCTCAACCAAATTTTCACCTAGGGAAAGATTAATTGCAGATGAGATTCTACAAATTGGAATGAATATTTAACAGAAACGACGGTTACTGTGCCATTCACCAGTTGCTTGATCTATTTAGTTTTTACATATAAAGGGCTTTTCCAGGTGCCTAGAAGCCATTTATTCGAACAGGGAATTTATTAAAGGAATATCAATTTATCAAGTAGAAGTAATGATCTTTGGTTCAACCAATTATTGATTTAAACTTGGAAAGCAAAATGATACTGACCTTCTCTTCACATTGAACGATCATCTAATAGCTATTTGAGGAAAATGTCCCCTTCTTGCACGAAAAAATAGAAAGGGTTAATATATTTTAATAATCTCCTGAAGTATGAGAGAACAAATGAAACTCTGGAGCCATATCCACTGGTCAGAGCATTTAAACATCTATGTTTCGATGTTTAAACACCATTAAACTTGAGAACTTAAAGACAGATAAAAAAAATCAGCCATGAAACCAAGCCCGTCAAGATTGACATCCTCATTTTACAAATATAGTCCAAAATAAATACTAGAAGCACTTGTTACAGATAAAATGAATGCACTTACTGTGTTTAGATTGAGGGAAGGGGAAAGGAAAAAAAAAAGTAATGAAAACAGAATTTTTTTTTTTGTTTGGATAAATTTTTAATTAAAAAAAAAAGAGTAAAAACTCAATAATTTTTTATTTTTCTTGTAATAGTCATTTTTTAAAATATTTCAACTTAAGAAAAAAAACTAAGGAAAAGAAATTTGAAAAAAATTATTTTTATAAAAAGATTATTATATTTATATTTTTATTATGATATTAGATTTGATTATATAATTGATACTTTTTATAAAATTAATTTTTATGAGTATTTTATATAACATCGTAGTTTATAAATATTTTATAATTTTTCAAGTATTAATAACAAAATAAGTTGAATTATTATCAGAATAAATTAAAAAATTGAATTAAATATAAAATTAAAAGTAAATCAATAACTAATTAATACATCTTATCGTATTAAATATCTTTAATTTTATTTAAAAAGATTTGTTTATACAAATTAGGTAGTATAAAAATATATTTGTATATTATATATTATTTTATAAAAAAAGTTATAATAAAAATATTATAATAAATTATTTTGTTTTCTTTTTTACTGTTCATCCAAATAATGATTGTTAAATTTCTTTCTTTTATTTTCTTTTATTAATTTTGATTATTCAAATAAAAGAGTACTTATACTTTTTTATTTTATTTTTTTTATTCATTATATTTCCAAATATAACGTTAAGGAAAGATGATCAAGATGAATCTTGAATATGAAATATCAAAGTTATGTGAAAATCTAGAATCTGGGACTCAGTGCTTGATGTAACCAGTCATTTTCCCAAAGCAATTGGATGATTGGGTAGCATCAATCAAAAGGAAAGAATTAAGTATTATGCCTGCTTAAAATTGTAAAAGCTGTGCCTAAACTGAGTCGTTTCCCAGCCTAAACATCCTTGAAAAAGAGACAATATCTAAACCAAGAGAAGCAAGATTTATGAAACGAGTGTTACCGCGTAGTTGCCTATGGTTAAATTACTATATATCTGCATCACTAAAGTGATTATGATTGAACAGCCTAAACAATCCTTGGTTTGTGTCCTGCAGTGAAGTTGTTTACCAGTTGTCTTAGATGGTTTTAGATTTATATAGCACACAGCATGGCTTGGAACCTGATGTTTGAATCTAATATTTATTAATGATGTTTAACAATATGGCTTAATGTTTCCTTCAAAACCAAAGTTTTGAGAAAAACCACAAATTGGACTTAACTCAAACGGTAAGAATGGGATAGGATTTGGCATTCTATTAGAAAAAGTTTGATATAAATAGATAATGCATTTACATATGGAGAGCTAACAACTTCGGAAATTGTTTTCCTTTTTCCTGAGTTGGGCTCAGAACTTGCCCATTTTGAAGAATTCATGCAAAAGTCTCAGTTCTCTAAGGCAATAATCCAGACAGCTAACATGCAGAATAGAGGGCTTCCTCCAGAATCTATAAAATAACAAGCCCAAAACCAATCGGGTGACATAGAGTCATTGTCATCGCGAGCCAGGTCGCATTCTATATGACAAGCATGTATAACGTATCTTTTCTGCAACTTTATCCATAGGCTGTAAGCAAGTACAAACACTAATACGCAATGGATCGAGTAGTCAAGTGTCTCAACAAGACATATTGAGGAAATTTAGAGATTTATGGTTATGCATCACTATCAATAATTGCAGCATTGGCAGCCATCAAACATAAAGGACCAAGTGGAGGCAGTTAGTATGGCATTAGCTGATCTTAATGCATTATGAAGTGAAAATCAAAAGTGTAATTCTTGACCACCTAGTGCCTTCCATGCACATCTCAAGAAATTTAAGTTGTCTCCCTAGTCCCCCCAATCAGCTAGGAAATTATACTCCAAGTCATTCTCCGCACTTTAAATTAACACCATTATTGGGAGAATGACCATCAAGATCTAGTCATACCAATCATTCTATAGACCACTATTAAGCTACACCAACATCAGACCCTTGTAAGTACAAGAATTGTGCACCCTACCTTCACAATTCAATTCAATAACACTTCCCAAAATGGTTAAAAGGGTAGCAACATTCATCAGTAGTGAAAGCAAATCACCTACTTGTTGAGGAAAAGGGGCAAATGTAAAACAAACAGAACTTTTTCAATGTATTCAAAAGGCTAGGGACGGGTACAAAAGGTTTAATGAGTGGAATCCAATGGACAATAATGTTCTCTCACAAATTTGGTCTCAAATGATGGTGACTGATGAGCCACTCTACAATGCTTGATTTCATCTGAGACTTTGCAATCGTTTCATTGCTAGCAAAACTGGCGTATCATTACAAGTGATGACTACCAAAATCATCAAAATATTTCATTCATCACAAAAAACAAAAATAAAGTAGTAGCTAGTATTTTGTATGCGACATATAGTGAGATGAGAGGTTACAAAACATAACAAACAACTTTGCTCCTGCAGCAGAAACATCTCTTATTGTTCCTATTATCTAAATAGGAGAAGCCTAAGTTTGAGGAGAATTGAGTATGTTTTAGTCTAACACCAGCCCAGTGTCGACTATACCATCTGCTATCCATAATAAATCAACTACGGAAGCTCTCAAGGCATTTACAAGGATAACAAAAGAAAACCAGGATAAAGTGACACAATTTTGGCTCTGCTTAGTCAGCTCTAGCTGAAAGGCAATATTCATTCAACATGTAATTCATATCCAAAAACGGCTCAGCCAAATACAAAACTTGATCAATGCTGCGACCATTGAATCTGCTTAATATCAATCCCTTCCTTCACCATCTCATAAAGCGGACTCATTTCCCTCAATTTCTCAACCTGTTTCACAGTAAGCTCAACTGCCCTATCAATCTCCTCCTCAGTAGTAAACCTCCCAATGCCAAACCTAATAGAAGTATGTGCCATATCCTCATCCACACCCAATGCTCTCAACACATATGAAGGCTCCAAACTGGCACTAGTACAAGCACTGCCACTAGACACTGCTACTTCTTTCAACCCCATTAACAAACTCTCCCCTTCCACGTAAGCAAACGACAAGTTCAAATTCCCGACATACCTCCTATCCATACTCCCATTCACCACCACCCCATCGATCTTGTCCCTAATCCCATTCAACAACCTCTCTTGCAAACCTGTAATCCTCCTCTCATCATACTCCATTTCCTTCATGGCCAACTCACACGCCGTTCCCATCCCAACAACAAGCGGGGTAGGCACAGTCCCACTCCTTATCCCTCTTTCTTGCCCACCTCCATTCATTTGTGGCTCAACTCTAATCCGAGGCCGCCTTCTCAAATACAAAGCCCCAACTCCTTTAGGTCCGTAAATTTTATGCCCGCTTAAACTCATTAAACTAACATTCCATTTCTCTACATCAATCTTAATCTTACCCAAAGCTTGAGCCGCATCAGTATGAAAAGGGACATTGAATTCTTTACAAATTTTACCAACTTCCTCGACCGGTTGAACCACCCCAATTTCATTATTAACCGCCATAACAGAAACTAACCCAGTATCGGGTCGGATTTCCTTTCTTAATCTATCCAAATCAATAAGCCCATCAGGCCCAACAGGCAAATAAGTTACCTCAAAACCTTCCTGTTGAAGATGCCGGCAAGAATCCAAAACGCATTTGTGCTCCGTTTGTGTCGTGATGACGTGGCGCTTCTTGTCTTTGTAAAAATGCATGACGCCTTTGATTGAGATGTTGTTCGATTCGGTTGCGCCGGAAGTGAAGACGATTTCTTTCGGGGAAGCTCCGATAAGTGCGGCGACTTGTGCGCGGGCGGTTTCGACGGCGGATTCCGATTCCCAACCGTACAGGTGAGTACGGGAGTGAGGGTTTCCGTAACGGGAGAGGTAAAACGGAAGCATCCAATCTAAAACTCTAGGGTCCACTGGGGAAGTCGCTTGCATGTCTAGGTAAAGCGGACGGCCCGCGATTTTCACACCTTTCATGGTTATTCCCGTAGGATCCTCACACGCTGGTGGGGAAGAGACGGCGGCTGCGGTGGAGAAGAGGCGAATAACGCTAGTTGGTTTGGTTTTGGTCAGGGTTTGACGAAGAAGCATCGAGGCCATTCTTTTTCCCTTTTTTCTTTGGACTTTTTCCTTCCTTTTGTTCGGAGTTAATGGGAAGCAAAGTAGGAGAATTGGTGTGGGTGAGGAGGAGGTTTTGATAAAACGACCGACCATCGACTTTTAAATCGATGTCAACACGTGGCAAATTATCTGCCATTTAAAGAAAGAAGTAAAGAGTTTATAGTACTTACCACCTGTCGATATTGAGTTGTCTTCCAAGCTGATAGCGATTCAAGAAACAACTTCATCAAAACGACGTAGTTAAATAGTTGTGATTCACGCTCTATTAAGAGAGTGAAAGGTGGGACAACGGGTCAGAGTGAGAATTGCAAAGATTTGCTGTGAGTGATCTTATAGTATAAATAAATAAATAAAATCTTTTTTTATATATCTTTTAAAATTCCTTTATAAGGAGCACGGATGCAAAGATATATGTGGTGTCTGAATCACTCTGTTTTTCAATTTCCAGATCCAATCTCATTTTGGCATCGACACCATAGCTTTTAATCTTGAAATCAAGATTTTTTTTCTACTTTTGTCCAAATTCCTGGAAAATATTACCATTCTCAGAATTCCCACTCCAAAAAAAAGAGGTTTCCTTTGTTAGTTTCTTTGTGATCGTTTGGATTCTGGGTAAGTCTCTATGAAAGCTTTTTGAATTTAATTTGGAAGTGTTAAAATGGGTTTGCTTATAAATGCAAGTAGTTGATCTGTTTCAGATTGTAATGCAAGTTTGGATCCTACATTTTATTTCTTTTCTACTATTACTTTTTTTTTTTTTTTGAGAATTACTGGATGAAAAATGTGATTGGGTTTCACTGTACTTTGTTATTAGCGATTCAATGAGCCATGTTGTGGAATTTTCAAAGTTGTAATTTTTTTTTAATCTTTATCTCTTCATATTTTGTGTCCTTTTTACCTTCAAAGACAAAAGAGTTGAATTTTATGTCTTGATTAAGGCTACAAATAAGCACTGGATTCTGGAATCGTTGATGCACTGATCTTTGCTTTTTTTTTTTTAGTTTTAAGGTTTGATCTCTTCTTGTTTAAATGGTGTCGTTGATGTCTTTAATAATATTTTGCCATCATTCTTCTTCCTTATATTTTCTATTTCCTTTGTATTAGATTAGTGTAACTGTTATCATTAGTGTGTTCAAACCATATTCCCTCATGGAAAGTGGAAAGTTGAATTGAATATCTATGCTTTTCTCATTTATGATTTATGAAGGCTTGTGAATTTTCTGTTCTGTTCATGATAAACTACCATTCGAGCTTTAGTTCATGGAATGATCTGGATTTACATTGCATATATTTTCTTTTAACAATAGAAACATTTTCTGTTTGACTTTTCACATTCATTCTGTCATGTGAGGCTGTTATTGCTTTGTCGTGAACTTTTCGTTGATGAAATATACAAGTGTATCTAATTATAAATGTGTTAAAGAATTCTGATGTTTGTGGTGTTTTTTCGGCAGGTTAGTTGAAGGGATTTCATCATGTTCAGGCTTTCACCTCGTAGGAATCAAAGATCCAAAGGGTTCAAGGTAAAGCATGCTCTACAAATATGTCTTCTGGTTGGTGTTTGCATCTGGCTGCTTTACCAAGTTAGGCACTCTAGTGAGAAGAAAGCAGTGTACGAGAAATCTGGGAATCAAGTCTTAAAGTTGGGGAGAAAGGACATTCCTCAAGCAGAGGAAACAACTATTAAGGATGCGAGGCACAAAGAGGAAGAAGAGGACGAAAGCAAGAATGGAGAACAAGATAACAAGCCTGAGGAAACTGAAAATGAAGGAAGCCGGAATGGGGATGATGATGCAATGCGTGAGCATGATAATGACAAACCTGAAGGGGAAACTGAGCACGGAGAAGTTTCAATGATAGATGGAGAGAAGGAAAATGAAGAAAGTAGGAACGATGATAGTGAAGAGACTAAAGAGAAGGAAAGTGGGGAAAAGGAGAGTGAAGAGAAGGAGATAGAAGAGAGCAAAGAAAAAGATAATGAAGAGAGTAAGGAGGACGGTGAAAACAAGGAGAGTGAAGCCGTTACGGAAGAAAATGAAAATAAGGCAAATGAGGAGACACAAGAGGTCAATAATGAAGAGAAAGAAAACACCAAGGAGAGTCAAGAAAAGGAAAATAAACAGGTTGGGGAAGAGAGTAATGAAATGGAAAGCAGTGAGAAAGAGGCAGAAAAAAGTGGAGGTGGGATAGAGAATTCAAGTACTTCAAAAGATCAGGTTCATGATGGAGTTGACGGGAATAATGAAGAAGCAAGAGAAGAACATTACAAAGGGGACGATGCTTTGAGTGAAGTCATCCATGATACCCAAAATGTAGCGGTCAAGAATGAGGGAAGTGATCCAGAAAATTCCAATGAGTCAGAGCAGTTGGAAAACAAAGATAAAAATGAATTTAACCAGGAGAAGGAAATGAATAGCAGTGAAGCATCCAATGGCCATCATGATGAGTCAAATGTGCATGAAAATGAAACAACTGAAAACAATCAAGAGAGTGGTAATGAGAGCAATCAGGATGAGTTGAAAGAAGACCTCCATCCTGATCTCATGACAGCTATAGAACCAGATGAGCACCAGAATGAGACAGATACAACACCCAATACAACTCAGAATGAAAATGCTATAGTTCAATCTGAGAAATCTGACTTAGGTGGCAATGATGAGCAATCAGATTCAAATAGAATTCCCACTTCAACTGAGAATGGGGATGGAGCTAATGGAGGTTCTACAAGTTCCTCCAGTAACTCTGAATCTTTTGAATCAAATGGACAGACTGAGAACTCCAATGCATGGACAGGATCAGACAGCAATTCTGCACATTCAGTTACAAGCCAAAGTGATAACACAGTTCAGACCGAAGAATCCAACAATAATTCTGGAGGAGAGGGGACACGAGAAAATGTTCTTTCGTTAAACACAAATGATAATTCAAATGCTGGTCCGAATGAGGAAGTTCATTCTTCTGATTCTTCAATTGCCAAAGAGAGTGAACCAACCTCGAACACAAATGATAATGGTGGTGCAGGTCAGAATGAGAATGATAGCAGCAATACCAACAATGATGGAAATGCAAATGGGAATGGCAGCAGCACTGACAATCAGAGCAACACCAATGACAATGCAAATGCAAATGAAGATGTTACTCAAAAGGACAGCAGCAATTCGGATGTCAATGAAATTTCTGCTCAGAGCAACATCAACAACAATGAAAATGCAGGTCAGAATGAGAATGGTGCTGCTAAGAGCTACAACAACAACAACAATGAGAATCCAAGTCAGAATGAGAACAATGATTCTGTTCAAAGCAACACCAGCAACAATGAAAGCTCAAGTCAGAATGAGAACAATGCTGCCCAGACCCACAATAATGAAAATGCAGGTCAGAATGACAAAAACAATGTTGCTCAGAGCTATGACGATGGCCATGGAAATCAGGGTGAGAATGAGAACAATAATGCTCGTCAGAGCTACACAGATAACAATGGAAATGCTAATTCTAATCTAAATTCAGATCAAAAGGAATTGGACAATTCTTCAAATTCATCAGATGCATCATCAAGTACAGATGGAAAAACTGATGCAACCCAGAATAATCCCACTGCTTCTTCTGATGCTTCAACTCCTCAAGAACTGAAAGAAGCTCAAACGAATTTGGGAACTTTGCTAGCTACCAGAAATGAGGCAAATAACAGTGAGAATACAGCTGCGGAGTGAACTTCCAGATGGTCTCTTCACTACTTGACTATTACTGTCATTAAATTTTTGTTTTCTTCTTCCTGAGATGATCAGGCAATTGTAAATTCGTGGCTACTTGTGCTTCATTGTGATATTAGTGCTGAAATATATTATTTTGTACTTGTAGATTTCTACTTATAATGAATGACATTCCAACTTTTCATAAGCCACATATGTAGTTTTAAAACGTGTTATACTGTCTGGCAACAATGAAAGTTGTAGGTTTGATTCAACAGATTATCTTTCTGCAGGGTACTGTTTAAAATGGAAAAGAAAATCCTCTAGTTTTTCTGCAAATGTGTGTCGTTGCTGCATAAATCATCATCTTGAAATGGGAGTGCCAGCTTTTTTGTCCAATCCATGAATTTGTAGCTTAACTTGGAAGGACCAGTGGGGTTGGCAAAGCAGTAAAACCTGATAGTGGCTCAGGACCTAAAATCTATCTGTAAACACAACCCTCAACCTTAAATCTTTGACATCCCAACATCCGCTGCTCGGATTACCCCTGGTTATGGAAAGCTTATATGCTAACTCTCCCGTATTCCTCCCTCTGGCTGTATGAGGATCTCTTGGTAATTCAAAATTAGTTGCTTTTTTTTCAATATAAGTTGGATAAGTTGCCTTCATCTTGAACCAAAACTTGGATGGAAAAGTAATGTTAAATGCATATAGAGATTTTTCAAATCTCATTTTCAAAATGAGTTGACAAATAATAATTGATGCAGCGAGTTATAAGTGCAAATGTTTTCGTATATTATTGCTTATTAAAACACTTTCTCTTCCACAAGAAATGTCTCCGATGATTTGTCAAAATCATACCAATATCCTCCTCTTTCAATGGGTAGTGTTCCACTCTCAAACCATTTTCTTGTCATATTCTTACCATTCATCCTCCTTATTCGATAGGTCGTCTCAACTCTCAAATCATTCTCGTGTAGCTCCACTCTCCCTTCCGTATTTCGTATTTCCAAGAGGAAGCCTAACTCACATTGGCAGCTTCGCTAGGGCCTTTAGAAACCACGCCAATTGCATCCAACGACACCCCAACATTCCACTTTACTCTCCCACCGATAATAACAAAATTTTCTCTAAAACGTAGCCCCTTTAGGCAGCCATGGTAATTTGATGTCTTAATCAGGTTGAAAAAGAAATTTATGCTTCTGAATAGCTTATGTGAGCCTCAACCTTAATACAGGAATATATAAGAAAGTGAGGTGTAAAGAAAATTGATCCAAACCATTCATTAATCTTATTAGTTCGAAACAGAGTATGGCAGACAACCATATAGAAAGCCTAATGAACTTGCAATGCAAGTCTTGAAAACATTAACATCCAAGAAAAGATCCATAGTTATCTGATTGATATGTCTGAAAAGTTAAGAAGTGTGCTAAACTTGGAATGATATTTTTGTTCAAGTCCAACAGCCCATCGGCCATCCTAGTGATGCATCTTCTTCTCAAACAGACCATCTGGACCTGAATACCATAATAAAATGATAAAAAGAGTGAATCAACCAATATAAATAAATAATGTGAATAATAAACTTAATTTATACCATCCTTGACCAGACATTAATCCACTTCCAATATTGAAAAGCATAATTACATATTTCAAATGATAGCACTAAATTTTGCAACTAGATTCAATGATCACTCATCAACATGTTTATTTAAATAGGCTTATCAATCACAACAAAAAAAAAATACATGCTAATATTTTCTGAGATTCAAAATACAGTTACAAAGGGACGACCCAATGCTTGACAAGGCCCAAAAACTCTTAAATTATTATAAATAAGCAATGGCCTAGGTATAATACTTTACGAATAAGAACTATGGTGATTTTTGATAGTTCATTGCAATATGATTTTCAAACTCTGCAACCAGTAAACTAACAGTAGTTAAACTTTCTATTATCTTGAAAAAGGAAAAGAAAAAAGAAAGATTTTCATCAACACTTTATGAAATTTGAAAACACAAAATGGAACATAGCAAAAACTTGAATTCTGTCATTTATAAGATCCTTAGGTTGGTTAAAACAAGATAAAATTAGAGACAGCTAAATCCAATGATGTAATTGTAATATGATTGAATGAAAATGAATTTTACACCAGGTCTTACGGTGAATCATAGCCTTAGCAATTTATTAAGGACTTAGGCATGGAATGACAATTCAAATGCTCTGTTGTATATCTAAAACCAACAAATGTAAAGATAGGCTGATAGGGAATTTCACCTAGTATTCCACATAAGAGAAAATTTTCAACCTGTTTGTAACTTGTAAAGAATAATCTAACATACACTAGGAGGTAAACATTCAACATATAACAACGTTTCCACTACTAATCTTTTATAGAACTGCAAAGAGAGAGTGAGTGTGAGAGACAGGAATCAGAAAAAAAAATTCACCATTCTTTTATGGGTAGAACATGGAAAACTAATAATTAGCAGTAACCAAATTAAGTTAAAAAAGGCCAATCATAATTGGTTGGCAGTTAGCAGATTTCCATATTATTTAACGTGCACATCATCATTATGATCTGGTGATTTTAAGTCTATATAATTTGCCTAAGATAAAGTATAGATGCTTAAAAAAGCAAGTGATTTGAACAAAATGAATTGAATTTATTTCCAATCAACCAAAGTCAGTAGAATTCCATTTGATTTTGGTTCTGAACAGAACCTAATTCTCTAAAATTGTCTAGAATTCCTTCCATTCCAAAACTTTTAAGCAAATGACGGAAAAGAAGGAAAAGCAAAAGAAAATCCAGTTATGTCATTAGTTGACTTGGAAAGACCCAATAGAGCCTAAACAGCAAAATTAAACACCAAAAACAAAATTCAAATAAAGCCTAAATAAATTGAAATTCATAACAATTAGGATAACATACCCCAAGGGAACTCTTTGTTGCGAATGTGCAAATATGAGTACGGCTGCAAATATTCACACAAGACGATGTATCCAATAATCAGTTACGAAAAAATAATGTACCTTTGAAGTGTAAATGTAAATTGTAGAACATACCTATAAATAATAACAGCAGCATCCAAAAATTAAAAAAATAACTAAAATTAAACAGAAAGAAAGTAAGCTCACAGTAGGCTCTTCATGATGGGAATGACCCTTTGATAGGTTATAAATTGCTAAAACAGTGCAGGTTGCAACGCCTAAATATGTTATTTTCTCCCATTTCGCCGTTTCATCTGAACAAATAAATTATAAATTCATGTTAAAAATGTGATTAGCTGTTTGGATTTTTAAAAGGTCCAAAATTTCAATTTATGGATAATCCAAATTCTATTTTACTTCTTCTATTTCCAACACAGATTCGATCAAAATGTCAAGGGTAAACTAAACACTAAAACCCTAAAATATCAACAACGAAAAATATATATAAGCAATCCGTACGTGAATAAAGTAAATGATTTAAAAAGATAAAAAAGACAGAGAGAGAGAGAGAGAAGCTCGCATACAAGCATCATCGTGATGAGAAGAGGAAGCGAAGCCTCGCTTGAGAGGAGCAGAAGGACGAGAACCACCGCGAAGGGCGGTTCGGAGGAGACCAGATCGCACGCTCGCCATCGCCATTTTTGTTTGATTTTTCTCTGTTGAAATGCGATTGGAAAACCCTTTCTTTACCCTTCTTATTTTGTCAGCATTAGAGGAGAAGGGCTTAGTACGTGCGAAGTGCGTGGCTCTTGCCCCTACCTCTTTTTTTTTTTTTTTCTATTCCTTCTTTTTTTTGTGAATAAATTATAAATCCATGAAAAAAATATAAACTTTTTTTTTTGGTCTTTTTTATTTGAAACTTGATACGTTTCCCTCTAAAAACAACTTCAATGCCACTAAACTAACGGTTTATTAATAAATACATAAGCCTTTTTCCTCTAAAATAAATTGGAGGATGAAGATAAATATTAAAAAATATGATCATATTAGGAAATAAATTTAGATGCTAGTGCATTCGTATCTCCTTTTAGAATTATCAATTGTGATTCTTTTTAAGTTAACAGAGTACTACTTCCTTCCTGTTTTAGTTTTTTTTTTTTTTTTATAAATTATTTGTAACGATAAAAATTATAATTATAATTAAACAATTTTTTTTAATACAATTATCTTTTCTAATAATTATTACAATATATTTATTTAATAACGAATACAATTTAAATCTCAATACTAACACTTTTTTTTTTATAAAAACTCGAGTGCAAGTATTATCAATATGAATGTGTTACATGTTTTTATGAAAATTTTAAATTGAGATTATTACCAACAATTATTATTGACAGCTGCTCATAATTATATTAGATTATCAACTGCAAAAAAGTTAATTAATTCTTCTTTTTAAGTTTTTTTTAATGAAAATTGAAGTTAAATTTTGGGGATTAGAGGGGGGAATGGAATAAAAGATTATGACTTTCATCAATTGGCATGAGAACAAGATGCGGAAGCCTCACATTCTTAACTTCAAATTACTAAAGTAGATAATTTACATGCAATTTTTTTCTAATGCAAACAAACACTGAAAAGTCGTTATAAAGATAATCTGTCCTTCACTACAAGCTAATTTTATCCCTCAAAATATGCAAACAATAACCGTTTCTCACCATTGCCCTTCATGTAACTCAAGTACTATTCCTTGAAAATATTACCCTGCCAAACCAGTTTTGCACAAAAACATTACCCTACCAAACCAGTGTTGCTGTGTCTGGCCTCTCAGGATGTATATTATAGATAAACTCTGGTATTGTCTATCCACAAATAAGGGTTTGCATGAAGCAACAATGATTTCACTGATTCACTCCCAATCACAAAGCTATTGTTTCATGAATTGAGGCATGCAAACAAGCAAAAATAAAAAACGGATATTGCATCACCACACATTCTACTGTTACATAAAAATGGTAGATATAAGAGAAATAAGTTTATTATTATTGATTTTCAATTTATTCTCTTTCATTCCTCAGTCCAACAGACAAACAGAGAGGGAATGACTAGATCATTTCACAAAATTGAAGCACGTTTGGCATGACATCTCAGACAATCCCTCTCCCAACTGACAGAATGGGGGAAAATCAATTTTCATGACCAACATCATGGTCACGAGTATCAGCAGGAAAATCACCCTCAGTGGAACCACTGAGAGAAGCATTAGTTTCTCCAGCTGATGTTGAAGTCGAAGCAGTAGGCTCGACTGAAAATTCCTGAATATGCATCCTCAACTTCCCCTTAAACTCCTGCATCATTGATTTCAGAGTCAGCAGCTCCTTCAAGTTGAGTTCATTAACTGGTCTATCCACCAAGCTTTGGCCCTGGCTTTCGCTCTCCATCCTCATCTGTTTGAGTTGCTCACCTCGAATTTTTTCAGCTTTCAGTTTTTCAAGAAGATCATGGTATTTTTTGTTAAGCTCATTCAGAGTGGCCTCTTGCTCAGCCTCAGCACGGCGGATTGCATCAAAATCTGGCTTCCTGGGATGGCCAACAGAGAAGGCCTTGCCACTAGGTGAGTAAACAACAAGGGCAGTCTCAACAGCACATAAGGTACAGAGTTCACTGGCCTTCCTGAAGAGGCCAGATCGACGCTTGGAGAAAGCAACCTGCTGGGCATCTGCTGCTTGAATCATCAACACTTGAGCCCTTCTGCGGCCACCCTTTCCTGACAATCCTGCCATTGAGATAGTACTAGAAGAGCAATGAAAAAAGTGTTTGAGGATGAACTCGTGAAGTTTAGAGGACAAACACACCTTATTTATAGGACTTTGATGGCTAGGCTAATACACAGAGGTATCAAATTCTCACTCTCGGATTGGTCACCTCTATTTCCTGCCATATATTACCTTGGCAGTCATGTAATCATAATAAACTCTTCTATTTTCTTTTTACTACTTACTACTAAATGACAATACTGGAAATATCCTTAGTTGGCATACTTTAACAAAATCACACTTTTAGTGCTTGGATGCAAATGGAAGTTAAATTCCAGGATATGCCTGCCATAGCCGCAAAAAGATGTAATAAGCCTGCCAAATTTGTGTAGGGGAAAATGTAACGGTGTTGAATGTTTCAACGCATGTAATATTCCCTCTATTACTTCATACTATAAACCTTTTAATCGAGACAAAAGATTCATTAATCTTCGGTGTAAAGTTGTCCAAGTACTCAACTTTCCCTATGACCCAAACTGCAACTAGAACCACATGGTTCACACAGTGCTCTGAGCACCACATGGTACGGGCAACCTGACCGGACATTTTCCTCAATAAAAACAATTAACTAAATATAAGCTCAAGAATTGGAAACAAAATAATTGCCACATTAGAGTAGGTAATAATTTCTGATAATTACATTAATTGTTATGAATCATAACTTTTCTATTTGAAATGCAGACACAAGCATGACAAAAGATCTTTGCCGTTAGACTGATTATGTTAATGTAATGGCAGGTTTCATTGTCAATCAAGAAAAGCATACATCTAAATTTTGAAGGACTACAATCGTGTGAAACTAATTTCTCCGAGTATAATTAAATTACTTTCCTTAGGTTAGAAAAACTCTCCTCTTCGGGTAGAAAGTTATTATGAGAACAGGTGCAAACGGTGTGACTTAAGCCTGAAAATTCTGATAGGAAATGGATTCTTATTCTTATTAACAAAGCCATATTTCTCTAACAAATATGTGCACAAAGAAATATTCTCTCCAACACCAAAATAAACTGTTTACCGATTATAATTGAAAAGAATAGTTCACTTTTGTTAATAGTAATGATGAGATAACAATAATAACAGAAAATTTCAACAGAGCTGTATAGTCAGAACCTTGCAAAAAGCACTCCCTTTTTTTCTGGAGATCTGTCATTTTTCTAATCATATTAATCAAGCTTTGATAATAACACAGTCAATTCAAACACAAAAAGAAAAGATAAGTAACTTTTTCACAAAGAGGTTGCAACTGAGTCAAGAGTTCTTCTTGCATTGACTCAGAACAGAATACATTTTACTGATTTAGAACTTGTTTTTCAACTTAAAGCAAATGCATAAGCAAAAAAAAAAAAAAATCCTGCCTTTTCAGTGGATGCAACACTTGTGAGTTTGAGAACTATCTAAATATATCGTATCTGCCATTTATTCTCGAGTCTAAGCCAAATGAAGGGATTGAGAACCTTCAATCAAACATCTGCAGCTCTAGTTATTACAATAAATATAAAATCCTTTGCCTTCCTCAGATATTTTAAGACATTTATGCCACAATTTTTATCATGAGTCTAGAGTCTAGACAAACTTCATTAACCTTCATAGCATGTGCAATGCACCACAACCACACAAAAGACTACAATATTTATAACAATGCTAAGATATTTTTGTAAAATTGAAGATTAGAAACCAAAGATATAACTGGTTTCAGATGTTCCAGATGTGATGATCATACTGCCAACAATTTCATTCTGAGGAAAAAGTTTTTTTTTTGGATAAGTTGTAAGTTTTATTTATCCAAAGCTAGCAGAATTCTGCTATAGTACAACGAGGAAAAAATTTGTGATATCTATATGCCTTTTCATTTATCTCATAATTGTTAAAATTGGTTAAAATGAGGCACAACTTGAACAGACACAAAAATAGATTTTCTGGAATAATGTGCAGTACCCTTAATAGCATTAAAAAAAGGCAAAAAAAATCTTCCAGAACATCTATCAATCTCAATAACTTAGATATATATGCCTCCCCGCTCTCTTTTCCTTTTAATTAAACAATCAAATGCTTGAAGTCAGTTACATCTACTGCTAAAATGGGATTATAAATTTCAATTTTCCAAATACAAGCCTTTAGATAAGGTTAGGTAGCACTGGCCTGGGATAAAACTAAAAAGCTACCATCAGTGTCATATGAGTATGCACTTATTGCTAAGATACATGGTAGTATGATTCCAGACATGTCTTGATTTCAAGAGTAGTTTTTAGCTTTTATGAATGATTGCCACACGGTAACAATATTCCAACTTACCATGATTCTTGGGATATCTATTAGACACTCACTTTTCCCGGCCAAAATGTTCAGCTAGTCCACTATCAACTTCTCAACTAGGTATATGTGTTATTGTCAAGAAATAATCTTGTAGCCTAAAGTCTGAGAGGCATACTAACAATTGAGATAGCAAATGTGGTTGATACATTTACGCAACTAGAATTTGCGGCATATTGCAGACATCATTAACTAGACTATTTAGTTTAAAATAAGAATGAACTAACCAAATCCTTACCATTATCTCAGGGTCTAACATTTGACGGCTCTAATATTGGTAACTATGCTTCTCTTATACGTTTAATTGTGTATTAAAAGAAATAATAGGATAACTTAAGTGACTGAACATTATTTATCCGACTAGCCAGTTTCCTTAACCTTTCCCATTTTATAGCCTCAATTCACAGTATCTGTTCAGTTGATAACAAATGCAAAAAATCAAACATATTCTCATTATAAAAAGAATTCCAACTAGGCGGTCTTCTGTCATTTAGCCAGTCAGAATCAGCCAACAAGAGAATGAAACCAAATAGCTATCCACAATAGGAAGTTATTTCTGATTATCCCCAGTTTATGATGAGTTTCTGTCCTGCTATATCAAGTCTGACCAGGATTAACTAATTGTTCTTGCATTTAAAAGACAATTGCTGCCAACATTCCTTCTCAAACTTCATTGTCAAAAACTTTGGAGTACCATTATTTTCTACATTCAAATCAAATATCAAACTAAAATTTTATCAAGACCCACGAATGCAAAAATTGAATATAATTGCCAAAAAAAAATGATGCGAAGTCATGGTAATGGCAGTAAAGAACAGACTAAACTACACTAGCAGGAATGTCAAAAGGAATCAACTTCAAATTAACTGAATGTCAAGAGACATATGCAGTTGAAAGACCCCCAAACCTCGTTTTGTCTGTGATCTCTAACGTGTATCACAGCAAAGACCAAAAACATCCCAGGATATGAATCTTGATAGCGACAGACATCCCACAGCAAAACCAACATTTCAGACCCGTCATGTGTTTTTGTGACACTTACAAAGATTTTGTTAAGCTATGTCTGTTAGGATAAACACTCAAAAAAAGAAAAAATAAGGAAAGATGTTTTTCCTTTTTGTTAAATATAAAATTGACCTGTAAAATTTGAAACCGGGCCTAAGTTTAACTCTTAAATGGGCCATTCGAACCATGAATAAAACAAACAAAGCCCAATTACATTTTCAAAAGTGAAAGCTTTTAACTAAGCCCACGCCGACCAGACAAGTTAAGAATTCCCATCCGCTTGACCACCAAATCAAAAAAAAAAAAAAGAAAATCCACTTATTTTCCACACACATTTAACCAAAATTTTCGGCTGCGGCTTGAAACTTCCGTCCAACAAAGAGACCCACCTCCGACAACCTAAAAAAAAAGCACAGCTTGGACCGTTGTCTTATATGCAAAAGCTTCAAAGTCACCGTAGAAGCAAGTCACGTCTGGAAATTTGAACCCTTTATGAGGAAACAAGAGTCATTTTTTTGGGGTCTTCGTTTTGTTAACTTGACGACGTACATGGGTTCCACTTACTTTTGGTAAAACTATTTCAATGCTTATATTAGGCAGATGTAATAACAATCATTCGATCAAGTTAAACCTGTCTGTTGATGTATTTAATATATATAAGATATTAAAATTTATATATTTATATCATATTTTATATAAAAATTTATATAATTATAATTTTAAATCATATCATTTTTATATTTTATTTTTATATTAAAATTTAAATTTGACAAAATAAAACAACAATTACACGGCTTTTGACTATAGTTCTAATGTATATGTTTTTCATTCGATTTCTAGAAGATTTTTTTCTTTCCAATATCTGTCACCAACCATTCATCCTTGACCTATATATAAAAGCACATAATGCCATTCCAAGCCACGCTAACACAATTCATTGTCTTCCCATTTTCCAGCTAATTAACAAGAGCCAGCTTGACGATTGAAGAAATTAGAGAAGAGATCGTCAGATGGTGGTTAAACAATAATTCTCTACACCACTTTCATATTTAGTTTTTCAATTAGATTAGGGAATTACCATTTTTTATTCTTTTTGTCATCCAAATAGAATTTATGTTACAATAGTTTCGTGAATGTGTAATATTTCATTGAAAAGATGAAAAAAAATAATTTTAAAAGATTTGAAATTAATTAAAAGCTATGAATCTGTCATGCTCTCTTGATTAGATTTCACGATGGTCCCCAATTCACCGCACCAAGCCCATCAAGATTTTGAAATATACAGCTTTTGTGGATATAAAAGGGGACCATTGACCATATTTTAATCAATGCAAGCAAAGAAATAAATGACCAAATATATTAAAGATCTTCCTTTTCTATTTGTAATTATGTAAAAAAATTATTTACAATATAATTAAATGTTTGCATAAGAATATTATTTATAAGGAAAATACTATATATTGTATGATAAACTACTGAGCTGAGGTGAGGTCCCTCACACTTGAAGTGTCTACACGTGAATCAACTGTTTAATTCTGCTCTTTTGATGATGATCATCATCAAATTAACAGCTATTTAGACGTTGAAGTTCCAAGCAAGGCTTTTCTTCCGCATAGTTAAAAATCCCATTCCCAAGCTCTTCGTCGTCGTCATCGTCGTCGGTATCAATAACATCGTGGAGATCAAGTGAGTACACCACATCTTCCCTACTCCAGCCCGCACGTAATAACACAACTGACAAAACCCTTACGTGCCAGGCCGCATCCTCTCCGTCCATCACCAATTGGGTCCCATTCATTTCCTGGTTTTCGTTTTGTTCGCAGCCGTCCATCAGCAGCGCCTCCCTCACTTCATCCTCTCTCCACCCTCCCTCCCTCAATCTCCAAAACGCTTCCTCCATACATTTCCCTAACCCTGAGTCCCCCTCCACCTCACCCGAACTCCACCACCCTCGCGTGACCCCACGCGCCACCACTTTTTTTCCTCTTTTAGCCACCTCTGTCCAAAACTCAATCCTCCGTGCCGCGGTCGCTGCCCAAGCTGGAACATTGTTAGTAACACTATTGGTTTTCTTCCTCATGAAAGGCTTAACAACCCCACCTCTTCTCAAGAATTCAACTTCTTGAAAAAACCTAGTAATATCAAAGCTCAAGATTCTGACTTCCTCTCCATCAACGTAAAAAACAGGGTTTCCAGCCACGTTTGGCGTCGAAGGGATATAACAGTTTCTATATATAGGAACAAGAAGAGGTGCTTTTTGTAATAAGTTTTTAACCAAAGCCAAAGCTTCATTAGAATTTGACGGTTTAGGACCCCAAGAATCAGACCAAAAGTTGTGGAACGTAATGTTCTTGGAGAGAGACAAGAGAGGGAGGTTAAGGAGAATGTTAAGTTGTTGAGGAGAAGAAGATCGCCAGTTTGGGAAAGAAGGGTCGATAGGGAGGCCTTCTTGGAGGATAGAGCGAAGGTCAGGAGGGAAAGTGAATTGGAAAGTCGATTCAATGGAGGAGAATTCCTGGTCAGTTAAGCCTGGGAGGATTGGAATATCAAGAGATTTAAGATAGTCGATAACGGTTTTGGAATAAGCAGCAAAAGAGAAACAAACAAGCTTTGATCGTGCTGGTCCTTTGGGTGCTTTGAGTAAAGGGTTTGGAGGTTGGGTTTGGGTTGTTGTTGCTGTTGCAGCCATTCGAAATTAAGCTGAAGAAATGGAGAGGTTTGATGGTTTTTCCTTCGGGTTTTCGAAGGCAAATTGAGAAAGAAAGAGAAAGAGCTTGACTAAGAATTGGGAGAGGAAATGTGAACGTCTCTCATGGGGTTGGCACTGGCAAGGGATGGGTTACTTAAGAAAGAAGCAAATGGACGGAGGAGAATGGGGAAGTGACATGGAAGCCTCGTTGATAATGTTGTTTTCTCTTCTTATATATATATATAACCACTGTGAGCCTCCAATTACATCTGCTTTCTTGTTTTTTTTTTTGCTTCAATTAAGGGCTAAAATAAAATTGGATTTGGATTGGAAGGTTGGAATTGCACAATTTCTTCACCACCATCACCCCATTCCTTCAATTGAGATGGTATTTAATCACCTACACTAAACAACAAGAAAAATTCTAATAAAGTAGTGTTCAGTATTTCTTAGTTTACAAACAAAAGGGTCAGAAACGTTGTATTTGTAAAAGAAAAGAAAATTATATATGATTCAAATTCAAGATTTCTATATATTTAAATCTCACAAACCCCACAATTATTTGAGCTTCTTCTTTTTTAAGCCTAATACGTTTTCGTACAAATGAGATTATGTCTCTTAACGTGAATGGAAGTTGCAAAAATAATTAATAAAATTACAAAGACTTTAAGGCTTTTTGATAATGCAATGAGAGGAATTTTTACGATATTCATAAAAATTTAATTATAAAATAATATTACGGTACAGTGAGAATCCTTCATTTCATTCTTAAGGAAAACCTTAATCTTAAAAAAATTATTTTTTGGAGTTATATATTGGAATAATATTTAGTATGAACTTGAAGTTAAGACTATGGTTGACAAGAACAGGATTGATAAAATGCAATGAAATATTGCAAATTGATTAGAAAAACAAGAAAAGAATTAATATATTGTAATAAGCATATTAATAATTTGAGATAGTGAAATGGAAACCAGCTTTTTTTTCTTTCCTTATGATAGCCACTTAAAGATATAAGATTTCAATCATTTGTCCAATCAAATAAACAAGTACTTTGACTATGATTCCCAAGATGATACAATCTTCTCCTTCCTTACCTAAAAGAACTTTAATTGTCTCCTAAAAGATTGATTTTAATAATAACCCACCATACATAAACACCAGAAATGGTCACACCAGAACATGACACACTTTTTATTCATTTCAACATTTCTGATAGTGATATAAATGTTGGCCATGGGCTTCTGGAAATTGTAGAAAGATTGCCACATGGCATGAATTTCACATTTAGTTTTTGCAGATGGGAGGAGTCATCAAGGATGAATGACATATACATTTTGTGTTCATGAATTTTATATGGTAATGAACATTGGAATCCAAGAATTTTCCTTGTTCAAACTTAGGGTAAGGTTAATTTTATTCTTTGTTTACTTTTGGTATCCTAAGTATGCTTTTCTCAACCTGGCCATAATACAAAACATGTACTTAGGAATTAGAATGGGTTCTTCTTGTTGGGGTTGGAAGGATTTGTCACATTTCATCATGTTTCCACTCTAATTGTCAATTAGATTTGGAATTTTCGATTCTTGTTCTTCATCATTCGTATATAAGTTAAAGTGTTCAAACTTTTCTTCCTTCTTTCAAAATAAAAAATTAATAATCCGTCTTGGACGATAAAGATGTAACCAAAACATTAGCAATTACGTGTTAAAAGAATTATAAATGTTTTATTTATATTATGTTATTTTTAAAAAATAATTTATATAAATTAATTAAACTAAATCTTAAATTTCATCTCGTGTCTTTTTGTATTGGGCCATATAGTCCCGTAATTCCCGTATCTATATGTAAGACAGAAACATAGAACAAGGTTAGGGCGAGAAGTTTTAAAAATAAATTCAAGAAAATAAGAAGTCTAGGCCTGCTGTTACTGGGCCCATTCCACAAATCATATAAAAATTGTTCAACATCTTATCTTAATTGGTAGGTTTAACATTATAAGTCGGTTGAACCAACGTTGGGCCTGATTTGAACTTTTCTTGCTGTACAAGTATTAAATTTAAAATCGATTGATAACAATAAAAAAATTCAATTTAAATATAATATCATATAAAAACTTAATATTAAAGAGGATAACTTTATTTTAACAACGTCAGACGTCAATGAAAGCAGAAATATATTGGCCCATTATAGCATAATCATCCATTATCAAGTACATTTCATGTCAAACAAGAATCTTTTGTTTGAGTGATATCTTCAGCTCCTGAGCTATCTACTATTTCCTCTTCATTTTCATCGTATGCTGAGACTACTACAGCATCTTCAAGCTCATCTGAAGCATCCTCATCATTCACAAAACTCCATACAGGGACGAGTTTTCCTGCTTGTATTATTACACAGCCTTATCATAGAAACTTCGGGAGATAGTATTATATATATTTCTCCGATTGAGGCTCTTTTTGGTGGACACTAGCAGGCCAACTAAGAGTTTCATCACTTGTCACTCCCATGTTTGTAACTGAAGCACCCTTGTTGTTTTCTTTAGGTTTCTGAGACGGAATCGAAAGGACAGCTTTAGGGGCATCTACCTTATTACCATTAGTCTTCATTTCTAAAGAGGAATTCTTGTCAATCCCACAGCCACAAATAAATTTGGATGCCAGGACCTTCCTAGTGAACTTGATTGTAGAATGCAGGCATTGATAAATTATCTCCATCAACTTCACAGTTAACACTACGATTTGTTATGACAAATGGGATCTTCTCGCCACTATCTTTCAGGGTACTCGAAGTGGACTGACCTGTTTTTTCCAAATTGTTCAGAGCAACTTTATCAAAAACAAGAACTCTAGGCTCAGGTTGAACTTTAATTGCTGCAGGCTTTCTAACTCTTGCTCGAGGATGAGACTCATCAGGAGAAGCCGACACATCAACTTAAGCAACTGACCTCTTAGGTGTCCCCCTCTTTGATGCTGCTCCAGATAAGCCAGTCCGAACAACTTGAGTGGAAGGCTTATCCACGGATGGTCTCAGAGATGAAACCTGAGCTTCAAGCTTTGTTAAGCTGCTCTTGTAATCAGCTATTTGTGATTGCAACTGACCAATAAAGCTCCATAGTTGAACATTCTCAATTGACTGCATATAGAAACAGATAAATTAAAGTGTTAACAATCATGGTTAGAAAAGAGGAAAACAGTACTAAAATAACATTAGGTGAAGAAAACACTACCATTTGAGCTTCCCAAAGTAGTTGGTGCTTCTGAGAAAGTTTTCCCATTGGCAGGATAATCCCTCTTTGAGAGGACTCTCCATAGGTTGCTGAGCAATTAGGCATTGGTTCAGGTGCTGAAGAAAAGTAGCCATAACCTCCTGGAAAAATATAGTTGAAAGATGGCTGAGATTGTTGACCACGAGTCCACCAAGAAGAGGGATCCCAAGGACCTGTTAACATGAAAACTCCACCATTACATCGCTTCAACATCTTGAAGAAGTTGCATTTAGCAACTTCTTGAAGACTAATTTAGAAACTATGCTAGATAAATTAGACGAATGCACAAATCAATGACAAATCATATTAGCATCATATATCCATTGATAATCAGTTTGCAATCAAGTTAGATGTAATAAATCAATTTGCACTAATTATAACCACACAGTATAATTTGAGATGATAAACATGAATTGGAAAGAACTTTGGCTTGCCTTACTAAACTACTTAGTTGCAATACTACCTGGAAAACCTGGGTATGGGCCAAAATGGTAACAGAGATTTTGAACTTCATGTTGGCTTCTTGAGGTCGATGCTCCAACTATAGCTGACGGTTTCCAGCTAGCATCAACTGTTGAGATGGAAGTTAATGGCTGAAATTTAGCAGGCAGGCTTACTCCAGGAAGATGATAACTAGGTCGCTGTGGCAACCAAAAGGGTGTGGTTGATTGAGCTAAAAGCACTGCGGTTTGGCCCTGCTGGACTGGACGATTAGGGGAATTTGGCTGCATTGGTGCTACTTGCTGCCATCCGCTTACAAGAATAGGAGTTGATTGGCTTGGTGCACAAGGTCTTGGTTTCAAGCAAGACTGCTGGGCCGTCTGTTGAGTGGTGTATAGCCATTGAAGAATATGTGGATATTGCTCATTTAAGGAAGAAAGATTTTCTTGTGAAAAGCTACCAGTTTTGGTATTCTTTGCAGCAAGTGCCTCATTTGATTGGTTTTGTTCTTCTTAACTTCCTCGCTATGTTCATGATAAATTCACCTCATTAAAATTGGAAAACAATATGCAGTTATAAACACTTACCAACCTCACTCATTAGTCATCTCATCACGGCCATCCATCAGCTGCGGACTGGAAATGGATGGCTACAATGGGATGAAAGGAACTGGTCCATTGCTAATAACATATAATTTCCATTGTAATATACAGAAAACATGATTTTCTACCACATACAGTTAACATTATTCAACTATTATAACTTGACCTGTTAATCGCCTAAGATTAGAAATCAAAACAACAGCACCAAAAGCATAGAGAATATGAACGAGTTCTCACTCCACCATGCTAAAATGAAAAATTTTGTTCTTGTCATCTCAAAAAATGAGAACAATTTGGCACTCAGATTTTTTTTTATAATCGAAAACAAGAAAAAAATTGGAGCACTAGTGTAGCAATACTCTCCTTTTCCTTCGACCCAAACATATTGGGAACACAAAAAAGTAGAAAGTCAGAAAAGAAGCCCCAGAATAACCTATCAATCAATGAATTTTTAGCTAAAAGACGCCATGTTTAAATCCAAAGAACAAGTTAAGTACGACAAACCCTTCTTAAGAACAATCATAAAGAAGAAAAGGGTCACATACCAAGAGGTCATTTGAGTCAGATTCTTGATTAGAAATAGTGGCAAGTTTTTTATGCTTCTTCTTTTCTATAGCGTTAACTGAGTACTTTTTACAAGCTCAAAAACGTATCTTCTATGGATGAATGTGGAGAAACTTAAAGTGCTGTTGCTGTAGCTAAATTGCTAAATTAAAGGAAGGGGAGAGAGAGAGAGAGGGTCAAAGACATTAAAGAGCGTAAAAGGAGCTCGAATGTCTTCTTCAACACAAAGAGAATGTGAAGGAATAGTTTACAGCTTTTTTTCTCTGTTTCATGTTCCTGCTGCTCGCTTGTCCTTCTGTCTCTGTTGCAAACCAACTACTAAGTTCTAAAAAAATTCCATATTTCACGTGTGGCACGGTATAAAATGAAATATTTTAGCACCATTGATCAAACGCTTCAGATTTTCTCTGGTGCTGATTGAATACACATTTTCTCATGCAAAAAAGTGTAAAAATTTTTTGGGATGCTTCGTTTTTAGCAAAACGTCTAAGAGTTAACCATTCTCCCTGGGAACTAAAAAACAGCTGGCCAATGGTAACCATGAGAGAAAAGCCTGAGCCAGAGGGAAGAGTAAGAGTTAAAGGCAGGCACAGGGACTTGTGGCTCAAGCCACAAGCATATCATTGACAAAAATTTTAGTACAGGAACGAAGTCAAGCTACTTTAACAAAGCAAAGCAGTACAATATAGGTAAGATTACTGGAATCCAAGTCCAACCATTATGAAAGCATAGTAGTAACACAAACCATTACTCAAGAACAACAATACACATACAGTTTTAGTATTCATCTCCTTCATCACCATCTTCACCCTCGCCAGACTCAGCACCAACCTCCTCGTAATCCTTCTCCAAGGCAGCAAGATCCTCGCGGGCTTCAGAGAACTCACCTTCCTCCATGCCCTCACCAACATACCAGTGCACAAAAGCTCTCTTTGCATACATGAGGTCAAACTTGTGGTCAATACGAGAGAACACCTCTGCGACACTAGTTGAGTTGGAGATCATGCACACGGCTCTCTGCACCTTAGCAAGATCACCACCTGGAACAACAGTTGGGGGCTGGTAGTTAATACCACACTTGAATCCAGTTGGGCACCAGTCAACAAATTGGATGGTGCGCTTGGTTTTGATGGTGGCCACAGCAGCATTGACATCCTTAGGCACCACATCACCTCTGTACATCAAGCAGCAAGCCATGTACTTGCCATGGCGAGGATCACATTTTGCCATCATGGATGAGGGCTCAAAGGCACTACTGGTGATCTCTGCAACAGACAGCTGCTCATGGTAGGCCTTCTCAGCTGAGATGACAGGAGCATAAGAAGAAAGCATGAAGTGAATCCTGGGGTATGGAACAAGGTTCGTCTGAAATTCAGTGACATCCACATTTAAGGCACCATCAAACCTCAAGGAGGCAGTCAGTGATGATATCACCTAAACCATTAATCATAAGAAAATTAGTTTGCATTCCCTGATAAAAGTAGATATTCAACAGACAAGACCATAAACTATACCTGAGAAACCAGGCGGTTAAGGTTGGTGTAAGTGGGACGCTCAATGTCAAGAGAGCGCCTGCATATGTCATAGATGGCTTCATTATCAAGTAACACAGCAACATCTGTATGTTCCAGAAGGGAATGGGTAGAGAGGACACTGTTATAAGGCTCAACAACAGAGGTTGAAACCTGTGGTGAAGGATACACAGTGAATCCCAGCTTTGACTTCTTTCCATAGTCCACTGAGAGACGTTCCAGCAGAAGGGATCCAAGTCCTGAACCAGTGCCTCCACCCACAGCATTAAAAACAAGGAACCCTTGTAGACCAGTACAGTTATCAGCAAGCTTGCGGATGCGATCCAAGCATAGATCAACAATCTCTTTCCCAACTGAGAAAAATAGAAGCTAGTTTAAGCGATCAGCATTTCAAGCAGTAAGTACAATACAAAACTGAAGATGACCAGAATTATTACTGGTATAATGGCCTCGAGCAAAGTTGTTAGCTGCGTCTTCCTTGCCACTAATGAGCTGTTCAGGGTGGAAGAGTTGGCGGTATGTTCCAGTCCTAACCTCATCAATGACAGTGGGCTCAAGATCTACAAAAATTGCACGAGGAACGTGCTTTCCAGAACCAGTTTCACTAAAGAAGGTGTTGAAAGCATCATCACCTCCACCAATGGTTTTATCACTCGGCATCTGGCCATCAGGCTATACAAAGACAATTAAAGTTTTAGAAATATTATAAAAGGCGAATACAGCAAGAGTCATTGAACAATAAAGGATTGATGATCTCACAAACCATTTCAATAAAAACATTAACAAACAATTCTATTAATTCCAAAATTTAACACTTGGGATTAGCTGTTCACACTTTGAATCCACTCCAATTTTAGATGACATATTCATCTCCCAAATTCAAAACCATGACAGTAAGTGAAAAATAAATTTTCAAAGTAATAAGCAAGTCTGCCAAAAGAGAAAAAGATACATAATCAGACGGTTACTAAGCGAGCAATTTGTTTCGGGGAAAGATCAGATCTGATCAAAATGAGAGGAGATAAAACAAACTTAAGAGCCAACTCATATAAAACTAATATATCAAACATTTCATTTAAAGACTCTTTACGCATTCAGCTAATAACCAGGTAGCTTGGACAAATCATGAAATCCGATGCCAAATATTTATAAACAAAATCAACTATAATCGCGAATTTATCTCAGATAAGCATGAAAATCCAACATAAAAAAATGAAAATAAGCATCTAAAGTCGAACAAATTTTAACAAAATGCATGAAGTCAAAACCGTAGATCTACAAGAAAATAATTGAAATAAGCTGCGAAAGCAAAGAATCAAGCTTAGGAATTGAAAATTCACCTGAATGCCGTGCTCAAGACAGTAAAGTTCCCAGCAGGCATTGCCGACCTGAATACCGGCCTGGCCGATGTGGATCGAAATGCACTCTCTCATTTTCTTTAAGAAGACTAAAATCGAGTCGGAAAAGCTCGAAAATTCGAAAACAATGGCAATCGAACAAAAGAGAATGCGTGTATTAAGACGCCTTTCCTTTTCTTCTTTCTTTCTTTCTTTAGTCGATGCGAAAATGCAATGCAGGATTTTAGTTCTCGTTGATTCGGTTTATATAGGCGAGGAGGAGGTTGACAATGTAAAAAAATGGAGATAATTAACCGTGGTTAGACTGGCTGCCAGCGTCAACCGCCCTAAAATTAATTGAACGATGCAATTTGAAAGTTTTAAGAGCTACGATGTCGTATTGACTGTAGCATTCGGGCACTAGAATATTGAAGTATAGTTTCGATTGACAATCTCTTTTAAATAAATTCAGGGTTTTAGTCCAAATTTCAAAACCTTGAAAATGAAATTAACCCATTCGGAAAGTGCTTTTTTAAAAGAGTTTGTTTTTATTTATTATTAATAAATTTTTTTAACTTCGTAAATGATAGTAAAAAATTAACACATATTTTTATTTTATTTATATATTTAAAAAAAAGGGAAAAATGTAGGCCGTTTACATCAACAGATTGGTGTGATGTCGTTGAGAATTTACACACCCTTGGCTTGTAAGCCAAGCATTCATGATGTGATCCAAAAATGGATGCCTGCCATCCATCTGCAATAAATATGGGTAGAGGCATTCAAGTTTATGCAACTTGCAGTGATTTCTTTTTGGTGCAATTTTCCATCACAGAAGCATCAACCAACTTTTAGCTTTTTGATCAAATGGGAAAGAAATGAGCTAAGCTGTCATATCTCAAATTTATGTTATGAATATATTTGGATGGATTTAAAAATATTATAAATTAAATTTTAATTATTAAAATTAAAAATTTAATATTCTATCGATATATTATACAACTATTAGCATTTAACATCGTTTCACTGGTATATATTAACATGCAAATTTAGAATTTGGTGCAATTCAATGGTGAAATTTCTCTGTAAATGAAAAGGCAAAGCAACCCATTTTACATTTCTCATTACTTAGAAATATACATAAACAAAACTACTCAAAATACAAGGGCTAACCCACCATGTTAGCAAACTACTTTGGCACAAGAAGGGAAGATGTGCTACAACGGGTTGTCTCAAAGTCATACAGCTACCAATTGCCCACATCTTTGGTCCTTAAGCAATTCAACTACCTTTCTCATGGAAGGTCTGCTAAGGGGAAATGCAGAGGTACATTTAAGAGCCACATTCAAAACTTTCTCAATCTCCTTCATATCAGATGCAGATGGGTTCATCCTTGGATCAACAATATGGGCTAGGTTTCTAAAGCATTTCTCACCACTGTCCATTCCTCCATCGGCGGATGATGATGATGATAGAGCAGCCTCGGTGACCCACTTCACTAGGTCTTTGTTCTCACCAAATGAAGGGTCATTTGGCCCTTTGCCGGTAATCAATTCTAGCAGCACCACACCAAAACTGTAAACATCACTCTTTTCAGTCACTTTTAGAGTGTAAACATATTCTGCAACCATTTCAACAGCAGGGACTGGTAAGCTAACTTGCATCACATATCATAGCATATTAAATATGTTTAAATCAACAAATGCAAATATTACAATTAAAAACAGATTATCATTCATAAAAAAAAAAAAATAGAAATTGCATATATTTATCATTATATTGTACATTAATTAGTTTTTTTTAAACCAAAAAATTGATGGAATATTTCAATTTTGTTATTTTTCTGTTAAAAAATTCAATGTAATTGGAAATAAAAAAGCTATATTCAACCATATAGAAATAGAATGAAAAAAATTAATATTCATTAATATAATGATAAATTTGACATTAAAAGTATATGTTATGCAATTCACATACATTTAAAGAAAAAATAGTGGTCCAAGGTTTAGCTTCCACGATCAACAAATACCAAACCCATCAAAGCTTAACAGTTGAATAACACAAAATGTTAGGTGCACTACCACCATTTTAGCAACATCTAGTTTAAAACATGTCAATTGACAAAATCAACATAAAAATACTTTATTACTAAAAAATAAATTTACTTTGACTTTTGATGATCAATTTTTTAAAAATTTGATTTTATTTTAAATATATTATTACCAATTAAAATATTTTGTAAAATGATCAAAGTTTTAAAAATTTAATTAAAAAATCAATTCAAATATTATTTATGAGAAGGAGAAAATATATATAAAGGAAAAATAGAAACCGTCTGACCTGGCGCAATGTAGCCATGGGTCCCGACGATTCGAGACATGGCCCCATCGCAATCCCCAACTTTAATCTGCAACGTTTTAGCCAAACCAAAATCCGCCACACGTGGCATCATCTCCTCGTCCAACAGTATATTATTACTCTTCACATCTCTGTGCACGATAGCAGGCATACAATCATGGTGCAAATAAGCCAGCCCCTGAGCTGCGCCGATGGCTATCGTGAGCCTCCTAGGCCAATCGATTAAACCTGCGCACTTATCCCCATGCAACGCGTCACCCAAACTCCCGTTCTCCATATACTCATAAACCAAAAGCCTGAACTCTTCTCCGCTGCAACACATCAGCAATTTTACGATGTTGCCGTGTCGGATCCGACCCAATGTCTCGGTTTCAGATTTAAATACTGTATCCGTCTCGGGTTTAACTCCCCATAGTCTCTTAACTGCCACGGTTTGACCCGTTTTAAGTTTAACCTTGTAAACCCGACCCGATCCACCTGTTCCGATGATATTCTCATCTTTTAGAAACGGGAATATTTCCTCTTCACTAAACCCGACTCGTTGGAATGCTGTGACTTTATACGGGCGTCGGGTTTTACTTCCAAACTTGGAGCGGGTTCTATAAAACCATAGGACTGACCCGATAAGAAGGAGAAAACAAATTGCTAGAATAGCCACAACGTAATAGGTGGAGGGTCTGGTTCTAGCGCACGGAGGAAGCGGTTGCAAATTCGGGCTACAAAGATCCGGATTACCCAATAAACCCGAAATGAAAAACTCGTGATCAAAACCTGAAGGCACTTTACCGTTCAACTTATTATCCGAAAGGTTAAATTGGTTCAGCCTCAACTTCGTTAAATCCTCTGGAATTTTACCACTCAGTAAATTACCGGACAAATCAAGGTAAGTTAATGCCGGCAAGCTACCGAGGGCGGGTGGAATTTCGCCTGAGAATCGGTTTCTGGCGAGGTTTAACTCGGTCAACTCTGTCCACGAACTCACTGAACTTGGTATCTTCCCTGTTAACTCATTATCTTGCAAATCAAGCTTTTGCAACTTCAAATCAGCGATACAAAGCGGCAGTTCACCGGAAAATCTATTTTGGCTCAAATTAATTTGTGTCACATTCTCCAACCAACAAATTTCTTCTGGAATCTCGCCGGAGAAATTATTACCAGAAATTCGTAGACTTGTCAGCTTCTGAAGGGCTGAGATTACAGGAGAAATCGAACCTTCGAAATGATTGTTTTCTAATTCAAGGAACTGAAATAAAGGGAGACCCCAGAATTTTTCCGGCACCAAACCAGAAAGTGCATTATCACCCATTCGAATATAATTCAACGTGTGACATTCACCGTAGGATTCCGGTATGTTTCCCGACAACTGATTCTTAAAAACGACAATGCGTTGAAGCTTCTTTTTGTAACAAAGAAACGGCGGTAACTCCCCGGTAAGATTATTTGTTGAAACATCCAAATCTTCTAAAGGAGAAACTTTACCCAGGTTGTAAGGTAACTTTCCGGTGAAGCTGTTGTTAAAGAGTTTTAACTGCACGAGATATTGATTGGAAGCTAAAACTTCAGGAATTTCTCCGGTGAAATAGTTGTCGTTGAGATTTAAAGACTCGAGAGGCAACGCAGCGATTTTCTCTGGTAATTTACCGGTGAGACTGTTCTGTGACACGTCGAATCGAAGCAGAGCTTTCAGATTAGCTAGACTCTCAGGTAATTCACCTGATAACTGGTTTTCATAAAACTCAATTTGCTCCAGATTTTTTAACCTTGATAAACTTTCTGGAATTTTACCACTCAAAAAATTACTTGATAAATCGAGATTTTTTAACGAAACCAGATTTCCGATGGAAGCAGGAATTGCTCCGACAAGATTCGACTTCGTCAACCATAGAACTTCGAGTTTCGACAAGTTTCCAATTTCGCTCGGCAAAGGACTTGCTTTAAAAGGATTGTAACCGAGTTCGAAGTGGGTTAACTCAGTGAGATTACCTAAAAATGAAGGAACCTTTCCGTTGAGTAAGTTCCCGCCAAGTTGGAGAACTTTGAGAGCATGTATCTGTCCGAAGCTCGGGGGGATATCGCCGGTGAAGTTGTTGTTAGAAAGTTGAAGAACTTCCAAATTCTCAGAAGGGAAATTCGGTAACTCGCCGGTGAATAAGTTGTCGGAGAGATTAATCTCTTGGAGATGAGAACATGAAGAGAGAGCTTGAGAAGAAACTGAACCATTGAGGAAATTTCCGGCGAGGGAGAGAGCTCGGAGGGTCCAAATCCGACAAAACCCAAACGGAAACCCGCCTGAGATACCAAACACAGAAAGATCAATTGAAACAACAGTTTGGTTTTGAGTTTCACAGGTAATGCCAGTCCAATTACACGGGCTTTGATCGGGCGTTGAAATAACCCAGTCATGGAGCATTCCATTCGGGTCATTGAGCTGAGAATCTTTGACCCGAACCAAGATTTGGGAGTCTCCATTAATTGAGATCACTAGAGGAAGAACGAAAGAAAACCACAAAATTAAGAAAAGTAAAGTTTTGAAATTTGGGTTTCTCATTTCAAAGAAAAAACAGAAACACTCGAAAGAGCATGCTTTGTTACGGGTTTGGTTTTTTTGCAGGTTTTGTAACAAAAGCGAAAGACAGTAACGTTGGGGAGAAATGAAACTATCGCATGAAGACGGTGGCAACTACGAGGAAAAGAAGTTAAAAAGTAGGATTAGGATTTAGAATCTTCAGAGTTTCACATGAAAAGCGATGAAAGAGGCGAATAAATTCTAATTGAACGTTGGAAACTTCTTCTACTTTTCGACCGCCTTTACTTTCTTTTCAGGTTTTATCTTTATGTGTTGTCGCGAGAACATTGCTGCATTAAACGGGTTTTGTAATTACAGGCGAGGATTTGTGGAAAACAGGGGAGCTAGAAAACGTGATTCCCTTTGAATTTTGGCAGTTTTAAGGAGTAAGTGACAAAAGAAGCCGTCGAGTCCTTATCTGGATCGGAAGAAATGGAAACAAATTACAAACCCAAGATAGGTTGTCAATTAAGGCATTGATGTAAGACTTGGTTTTTGAAAAGACACAGGTTTTATTGGAATCCATGGAAGATTTCATTTTCTTTAGTTAGGCAAGTCAAGAAATCACGGTGTGTTTGAAAATGAAACTACATTGTTGGAATTTGGGGCTTGATTGCTGATAACCGGTGGTGCCAAAAATTAGAGGCAAATTGAAGAATAATGGAGGGAATTGGGAAAGGGTTGGTTTCAGTCTATTCATTCAGGGGCATTTGAGATGGCCTCAAATTGGGAAAAAAGGGTAATCTAAAGTTGGCTGCAGATATAATGCAAAAGCATAGTGGGTTATACTTTTTCCCTCAAAGGAAAAGTAACGTTATTCACTTGACTAGCTAGTAGCATTATTAACTATGGAAAACAAAATTATATTGTGTTATTGCAAATTATCGACAAAAAAATTTAAAACCATCATTGCAACCATGATTACTTCTTGAGTCAATAGGCTTTGTTTGGGAATTTCAAGCTTGGGATATGATGGGTTTTAGGAATCAACCCAAGGGATGAAGCATAATTAAAAATTGTCATATTTGGCACGTTTGTATAATCTATACATTCATGTAGTATATAAAAGGTTTAAGGATAAATTTGTCACTATGCTTTTATTTCAATATTGAATTTTGCCGCTAGATCTTGATTTTTATTGAATTTTGTCATTAAATTTTAATTTTTGGATGATTTTAGGATAAAATTTAACCAAAAATCTTTCAAAATATTCATTTTCAATAATTAATAAAAAATATTAAAAATAAAAAACTGACAGACTTTTAAATTTCTTTGTTTCATTTTTTTTTACTCTTGAAGCCGTTCGTGATCCATTATGACATTAATCAGTAGTGCCAAATGTCAAATCTGCCATATCCCTTCCACAATATTGTTTTTTAAATCCTTTTTTCATGTTGTTTTTTTTTTTTTTTTTAATTTAACAAGAACAGAATATTTTGTTTATATCAAATTAAAAAAAAAATTATGTGGAAAGGAAGAAAATTGCAAAATACTTCATCTAATATTATGTATGTATCAAATTAAAATTAAAAATAAAAAAAAATCATATGACAAAGAAGAAAAATACCAACATAAAAAAAGATTTTAAAAAATGACATGGATATGTTAGATTTGGTGTTGGACAATCAAATTTCACCTTAGAGTATCACAATTCACAACTAACTAATACCATCATTGGTCATCCGCAACTTAAATAATAAGAGAACGATCAAAAAAAAAAAAGAGAAAAAATTTAAGTTTTAGCATTTTATAAAAGAAATTTTCTATGTCAATTTTTAATTTTAAATATTTTTATTAATTAATTTATTATTGTTAATTATTAAAAAAATATTTTTGTTAAAATTTTTCTTTAAATCATTCAAAATTAATTTTAGTGAACAAATTTTAATAAAAAATTAAAATTAAGTGAAAAAATTCAATCAAACAAACTTCGAACAGCAAAATTCAATATTGGAGTGAGAACTTTGACCCTTGAGAAAATTGATGCTAAATTTAATTTCCAAAGCATCTATATTAGAGTTATAAATGATATATTATTATTTATAAATTATTTAGATTTAATTCAAATTTGGTTCAATTATTATCGAATCGAATTTAAATTTAAATAATTAAATTTATTAATTAAATTAAATTCAAGTATTTTTATACCTAATTTGGATAGTTCATCAACTTAATCAAATTTTTATATTTTAATTTATTTTAATTAATAAAATATTTCAAACTCAAGTACAAATAATCAAATTTTTATTAAATATAAAAATTGAGTTTATTTTTATTTGATAATCAACTCTAATCGAATAAATTTAAATAATTTAATTTTTATTTCGAATCGAATTCGAATTAAAAAAAAAATTGTTGAACTCAAATCGAATTTGAACATCAAATTTAAAATTAAATATCAATTTAAATTTAATATTATATTAATTTAAACTTGATTGAGTACACTTTTAATTCAAACTGGGCCTTGGTGAAGCCAGGTAGAACGCCTCACTCAATGCCCATTCTGATTCTCAAAGCCTTTGACTAAAAAAAAGTGCAGAATTGAAGATTTGCATTTTACCAGGGAGGCATTAAACACATTTTGATTTAGTTTCCGGTTTTGGGGAGCACGGGACCTTGGTATCTGAGCATCGAAGATAATCAATTAAGATCAAATTTAATTAAAGAAGGTTGCAGATGCCTGGGTAGTAGCAGCAGCCTGCAGGCTCTGCGTCGCCGTGAAGACTCCGTTGTTTGGACGATAATCTGTCGAAAAATTATGCTTCCCGAGGCCCTGTGTTGAATACCGAATTAGGGATGCCTAGAAAGAAGAAGAGGATAACTTAACTATTTATTACTGAACTAATTACTAAAGTTCATCATGACTTGAATTCTTTTGTTTTTTATTTTAATAAGTTTTTAATAATTCGTCCGTAAAATGTTAGTTTTTAAATTTTAGTTATAAAATTTAAACTTTGATAACTTTAAATAAAAAAATCTCAATGATTTATTGAAGGTTTGATTTCACTACAATTTTAATCCGATGTAATTTAATTTAAATTTAAATGTTAATTTCAGTATAATTTATTTAATATAAATTTTTTTCAATCATAATTATAGTAATTTTTTTAAAATTACAGTTATAATAATTTTTATTACTATTTTTAATTTCATTGAAATCAATCTTACTATTTATCAAAAAAGACCCTTAATCTAAATTAAAATTTCTGTATCATGTTCTACGGATTTAATCATTAAAGAGACTTTGGCAACTTAAAATAAGTCAATAATGGAATACTTTTGTTTTTGGTATCAAATGCACTAATAGTTTCGTGGCCTTTAACAGTCATATTCCTCTTGAGCAAGCAATTTCCCTTTCACATAAAATTCCAAAGGGACAAAACTTGGATGGTTGAGCTAACACATCTGATTCTCAATTACCTACTCCAAAAGGAAAAAGAAACAAAGGCTAACCATCATGTGATTGACAGCCTTAATCCATATTAATTAAGTTGATCAGATTATGTCCAATGACAAGTGATTCCATAACCGACAATCCAATAATATCACAAGCTTTAATAATTGGATTGCTTATCTCATAATTATCAAATTCAGTCAGTCAAAACACACTTGGGGTGTCAACTAATACTAGGACTTGAACATTTAAAACACAAAAAATCTAAGGACTTGGACTTCCCCAGCCAGGATTGTAAAAGATTCTAGTGCCTGGTGTGGTATGTTTGATGCATTTTTTAGCCTTTGATAGTCAGGAGCAGCAGCCCCTATTGACTACTTTCGGGAAGGTAGTGGTCCAGCTGGATCACATGACAAAACCCAAGTCTACCATTGTTGCAAATTCATCAGGTTTTATTTTTAATTAGAGGGCGAATTTTGGATAATAAAAAATGAATGGGATTCTGCAGAACTTCCACTCCTAAAACAGTAATAATACATTACCATCAAGACAAAGACTCTTTCTCCATTCTATTTGTATTTTTTTGTTCTTTGAGGTCCATTCTATTTGTATATCCACAGCTTAAAGTCAAACAACAAAACAAAATTCCATTCAAAAATCAAACCTGAAGTGACCAGCATTCGATTTTATTTGATTAGTCTATTGCTAGGAGATAATATTAATTACATATGAAACGTCAAACCTCATATAATTGGCCGTAGAAACTAAACCCTAAATGAATAATAATAATTTACTATATAAGGTTATATGTGTGTATTCTGCATTACATCATTTCATTTCAGAAGCACCGTTTGCCTTTTTTTCTTGCTGCACTCTAGAAAAGGAAAACCTTCGATCAGTTCCCTGGATGTGACATTCCAAATTAAATTTTAATCGAATTGGCGCTATGCCCTAGTAGTGGGTGCTGTATACCTCAATAACTGCCTAGTTTATCATGTTAAGTAGAAGATTAATATCCCCGCATATCATGGTCTTGATAACTTTTGCATGGTAAGAAAAATAGTAAAGGATAAGTATGGAAAAGTGTTTAATCCAATAGTTAAATTACAAAATAATAAAGTAGTTATAAAAGATTAAAAGTTTGTCTATTTTTGCCTTTTTATAAATTTCCTAGCTATCAAGCAAAAAACAAAGTCTTGAACCAGTTAATTGCAAAGTCTAATATGTTTATGGATGAAAAATATTAGCCTAACTTTCTATTTTGATGGGTAATTGGGCTATGTTAACCTTGAAGGAACGTATTGTAGACGGATATGTGGTTTGCACCATTCTATATATTAATAAAATTAATAATATTTTTATCGAGAATTCAAAACTATTTTCAAGATTTCATTTGATTTTAAGACAATATATTAGAGGTGTTCATGCATTGAATCGAACTAAATCAAGATTAATTGATCTTTTAAAATTTTCACTCAAAGTTTGAGAGGTTTGAAAATTTTTGTAAAATTAAAATATTAAAATATTAAATAATTTTAAAATTAAAATTAAATTATTTATATTAATTAAATAATAATCCAAACTCGATCTGAATCAATTGAACAAATCTATATATAGTGCACCTTCCACGTTTCCACTTAGGAGACAATGCTTCAACTATTGCTTTGATAATATGAATAGCTTTAGTAAGTGATGAAAATAGCCAGGTCTCAGTCCTTCAATTTATGCCTTGGCTTCATCGTTCGTGCATAGTCTGATATTGCCGCATGTCTTGACTTGGTCATTCGACAGGAGTGTTGTATGGTAACATATATTATATTAACTAATATACTAATATTAATATGTTACTGATTAACTATATATATTATATAAGCATTAATTTGTTAAACGAGATGCATGATCCACGGTTTAAAGAACAAAATTCAAATCTCCCATTTTCAAATAGAATATATAAGTATACATTATCAAGGAATTCAATTTCTTTTAAGTAAGATTTCAGTTTCAAATCTTGTAAATAAAAAAAATAAATTTAAAAAAATTTATTTAAGGTCTGATTCAACTCAATTTTAAATTAATCAAAATTAAAATAATTATCAAATACCGAAAGTCTCAAACGAAATATATACGCGCGCGTGTATATATATATAAGTATACATTTATTTATAGCCGAAAAATCCCACATGAAAATTTACAATCAAGTTGTTGGTGATTAGCCTCGGAAGCGGCAAAGTTATAATTATATAGGCATAATGATGTGGGTTTGGGAATTAAATTATTAGTTAAGTACTTCAAAGTTTACTTGCCTATAAAATTTGTCTTGTTTTATCTTTATTTGCACAGCAAACCAAGTTCCATAGTACCAAAAGAGACATAAAACATGTCCATGAAAACAGGCTACGTCCAAGGAAAGCACAAATTTTT